GACAGACCACCAATAAGAAGTGCAGCCAACTCATGTGTTGTCGGCATAGAAAACCTGTCTCCGTGATTGTCCACAGTACCAATCAGTTTAATGGCAATCTCCGGAGCAGAGGGAGAAAGTAACCTATCATGTGCCATTCTAAACTTGGACACCAAAGGATTGGTACGATTCAACATATAAAGCAAAGAGGTAACAATCTGTGGATCTAGCCTGCCATCCCCATCATCCAAAAAAATATTAATTCTATTTTGAATCTCATTAAAAGTGTCATGTATATATAGCTGAGCATACTTAGGACGATGTCCGTCCACCGGAATAAGAGATCCAATCCGGTGGTGGACAACTCCATTGATTCGAAACACATACGGACCATCACCAGTATTAATTGATCTATCAACATGGACACCAAGCGAGGTGAAAGCGAACAGCGAGTTGTACCGTCTGATAAGTCGCATAAAGGTATTGCAACGCGCACCACCACTGAAGGACACCAACTCTTGCAAGGGAGGTGGGAATGGCCTATGCTTAGGCAAGGAAACTCTACCGCCACGACAACAATTTTTGTACACAAGGTGAGTGCGGCTGCTAAGACCCTGAACCCTTTCATGATACCAAAAAACAGCAGAGCAATGCTCACAAGCATAATCAGGACCACCATAATAAGAACGGCCAGGATACCTGACTGAACAAAAGGTAAAGAGAAGACTGTGATGACCTGTGCTAACGTGGACCAACAAAGGCAAGAGGAAGAGTAATAAAAATGTGGTAATAACAACCGGTGAACACATACCTTTTAGCATATCTATATATTCCTTAGGGAAAGCTAAAACAGGTTGAGTGAAAGGCGCACGACAAATTCGATCTACACAAAACACAGCAGTCACGCACACCTAGAATACAGTTAGAAGTTGTATGGACAAAAAAGAGAGAAAACACAACTAACCCCTTCGAGCAGCGGCCTTGACTCTGTTACGCTGCAAGCGGGTGGCACGATTATCATTGGACTCAATACGCGTTACCAATGGACAAAAGTGGCCTCCTACAACGTGGAAAAGAACAGAACGATACAAAAAAATGATGAAGGAACAGTGGTTCCTTGCCTGACCATATCAGGCTGACATCTGAACTTAACTGCATAGAGCGCAATTGGCTATATGTGCATCCTCTCGCACCATGAGCTGCTCGAACCATAGTAGAATAACTAATCAGTGTGGGGAAATTTGAGTGAGTGAGTGAGGGAGGGAGGGAGGGAGGGAGAGCAAATGAGCGAGGAAGGGATCTAGCACCTAGGAGAGAAGGGGATGTTGCACCTCGAGAACTCATGCATCTGTCGGACATGGAAAATTGGAAATCACGTGGAGGCAAGTAGCCAAGACCTAACCAAACATAGTTTCTGTCCAAGAAGATCAAGATCGGACAGGGAAGGAGGAGGGGGCGTGAACCTTAGTGCTAGGAAGACGGCGGGGTAGAGTTGGGGAGCCCATGCTTGCTGGAGGAGATGACGATGAGGGCGGGCTCTTACCGTCGCCTGTGCCCCATGGTTGCCGACGACCCAAGCGTCGTCGCCGTCACTGCCTCTCTGTCCTGGTTCCACGGGGAACCATAGGCAAGGCCTGCAGCCGCCGCCTAGCGTGAGAAAGCGCTACAGCTGGGGGAGAGGAGGAGGAGGAAGAAGTGCGGACGGTGGCGGCGTAGGCAAGGCTGGCCAACGCCGCCGGGGGAGAGGAAGCGCCTCAGCTGGGGGAGAGGAGGAGGACGCAATACGGACGGAGATGGCGAGGCGCAGTGCCATGTGATTTCTTTTCTTTTTTCTTTTTTGGCGGAGAGAGCGAGAGGTAACCGGCGCAAGGCCGTAATTAATCGGGAGAGCCCAAATCAACGCTCACACACGCACGAGCCCACGTGGATGCTCAGGATTCATGAACAGTAACTAAACAGGAACCAAAACACTCTGGTTACACGGAATCTAGGAGCTATATATATATATATATTCCACTACTCTACTTCTTACGTTCCAAATGGTAGGTTATTCTATTTTTTTATAGATTTATGATTTTTTTTAATTTTATCTTAAGTCAAACATCTTAAGTTTTAGGTAGAGTTTTGTTCCAAGATAAGGTGAAATAGGATAATCCTATCTTTGATTCCTAGGCTAGGACCATGGGCTTGATTGGTTTGCGCATAAAATTTGCCATGCCAAGAATAAGCCAAAGTTGGGTAACAATTTTGTCATGAATTTGGCAAGTCAAATATGAGAGGTTGACAAGTTTTAGTAGCAAACCAAATAATAATCAAAATCATGGCTTGCCGAATCTTCGACTCGGCATATTTTAAAAGGAAACCAGTCAGGCCCGTATCCCTTTCGTATTTGGTTGCGGTAACGAGATCATTCTAGTTTTATGTTTCGTTGGGTGGATGGAGAGACGTGAGATGATACTGTTAATTTGACACAGTTAGGTAGCAGCTGTCTATGCACCCCACTTGTTTTTCGTGGACTCAATCTGTCATCTTAGATTGCAAGAGTTAGAAAAATTTAGCACTGTAGTACTTTCGTTTGTATTTGATAATTATTGTCTAATCATGGACTAACTAGGCTTAAAAGATTCGTCTCGTAATTTACAATCAAACTATGTAATTAGTTATTTTTTTATCTATATTTACTGCTACATACATATGTCTCTAAATTCGATGTGATAAAAAAAATGAAAAAATTTAGAACTTCGAAGCAATCTAAACAAGACCTTCCTATCTTTTCTTTTCTTTTTTTCCAAATCGACTCTGTCTTCACCCCCAGTTACCCACCCCGCTGCCCACGCCCAAAGTCCGAGGGCCGCTGCACAATGAGAGCTCACCTCACATTGTCGACACCCGTCCGCCTGCCAGGAAGTACGACGACATATGATATATTTTAGTCCGTATTTTTTGAGGGGACGAGCTCACCCTAGATTATAGGGAATATTTTTTTGTGGGATTTCTTTGTCTCTACTTGTCTGCCAACCAAATACCATGAGAAATGGGTCCACCGGCGAGAGACTGGTGAAGTATGAGGACATATGATGGCTCCGTTCGGCTTAACATAAAAGTCAGTTTATTCGGCTTCTTTTTTTTTTTAAGTTGGAACAATGTTTTTTTTTCACAACATTTCAGTTTTGATTTGTTTTTTCAGCCAATCTCAGCCCTGCGGGGGCCAATATGTTTTAGTTTCTTTTGCTTGCTACACTATATTTTTTTTCTCTAGTATGTGTGAGAGCCACGCATCGTTTGTATATTAAGTAGCATATAACTACCAACGTACATTGGGATTAATTGGTGTTTTCGAGCTACATGTTGAGCTTGAATGTTTGTCGCGCCGGATTGTATTAAAATTTATCCTTTTTTTTTCATCTTATTCTCATTTAGCATGTCGCAGGAGCCGGTTCGGCGCTTCCATTCCCCGTAAGAGCGAATATTTCAGTATTTAATGATGTTGTGTTTTTAGTGGCAGTCGACGTTCTCGTCGACAATAAGACGCTTGTGGTGACTTCGTTAATCTCAAGAATTTACTGGCCCAGTCTTTAAAGAGGCTCATAGGGGATAGGGATGGGTGTGCGTGCGTCGTAAGCATCTACGTTGTACGGTGTGATCCTAAAAAAACATGTTAAAAAGAGCCAATATTGGAGGAGAAGCTTCATATGTTGCTGTGGATGCATATGGGCCTCCTTAAAGTACAAATTTAGGCCATGTTCTTGTAATTCGTACTTTTCGGCTTGTTTTTTTTTTAGCCGAGACATTATTTTCTCTCACAACAAATCAGCTGAAATAGTATTTCGTCTTGTTTTTTGAGGGAAGCGAACGGGGCCTTAGTGGTAAAATCTAAAAGCTAGATACCTATGCATCCTCTATACAAAGCTTTAATTACTAGTTTTACTATGATTTTAAATAAATCGTCTATGGTGTAGGAATAGTATACTATTCTCTCCTCCCACAGAGAGTATAATCTTTTCAGAAGTTAAATATTTTTTATTTTATCCAAATGTATATAATATATAGCGAAATTATTTCCTACTCCTAGAAGTAACTACTCTCTAGAGTAGAAAAAATGCATATTTATAATGCATAATTTATATCATTAGATAGACCACTGAATATATTTTTATAATATACTTATTTGGGGATATGAATGTTGTTAATTTTTTTTATAAATCTGGTTAAAGTCAAGAAAGTTTAAGCGGCATAATCCTACAATGACACTCTTTTGGAACCCAAAAAAATACTCGTTCTAACAAATATCTTTTTCTATGAGTCTTAACTAATTTGTTCGTGATTAATATAGGGGCCGTTTGGCCGGGCTCTTGCCGGCTCCGGCTCTCAAACTGTAGAAGCACTGTAGCGTGCAGAGGAGCCGGAGCCGGGAAACAAAAAAATACTGGCTCCAGCAGCTTCTTCGTTGTCAGTGAGTGAGAAGAGGATGAGAGAGAAAAACAGTTTTTATACACAGTGCGATGAGCAGTGCTGCTACAGTATGTCGGATGGAGCCACAGCTGTTCGGAGCCCAGCCAAAGGGGCCATAATAGAAAAATATTTTTTTTTTGACGGAGAGAGTATTATGTCAGTACGCCACTGGTGTTGCCGATTTTCATTTGTCACGTGTGAAAATTCAGCTGTGCAAATTTACTCCTGTCCTATCTTCTGCAATCTGCATCTATGGATTGGTTTGTTTGACCCCGTCGCCGTCGGTCGGCCATCGAAGCCACGCGGCTTCTTCTTCTGCCCGTTTCTTCCTCCTCGCACCCGCACTGCACACCCGTCCGTCGTCTTCTTCCCCGCTCCCGGACGGACGGAACGGACCCTCTCACCCTCTCTCTCCCTCCTTATAACCGAACCCAGCCCAACCAAAGCCGTTTCGCTTTGTACGGTCTCTGCTACTTGCATACGAGCTCCCCATTGTTTGTCCTTATCCCCCGCTCCAGAAGCTTCTAGAGGGCGGCCGCCGCCGCCACCGCCACCCGGGGTCAGGAAGGATGTGCGGGATCTTCGCCTACCTCAACTACAACGTCTCGCGGGAGCGCCTGTACATCCTCGAGGTCCTCTTCAACGGCCTCCGCCGCCTCGAGTACCGCGGCTACGACTCCTCCGGGATCGCGCTCGATGCCGACGCCCAGCTCCCCTCCCCCGCTTCTCCTTCCGCTTCCCCTTCTGATGCGCGGCCGTACGCCGGGGCGCCGCCGCTCGTGTTCCGCCAGGAGGGCAAGATCGAGAACCTCGTGCGATCCGTCTACTCCGGTCAGTCCTCTTCCGTTTCAAATCTCTTTGTTCCTGCCGCAAAGCTGGGATATTTTTCTCGCCTTTTTTTTGTTTTGTTTTGGGACCGACTTGTCTCTATCGGAAAGCTTCGATTTTGACCGGGGGTTTGGGTCACAATTTCGGGGGGATCTTGTTATCTGCTGTCAGTGATTCTGGATGATTCTATTCTACTGCTAATCTGCTATCGCGTGGCATTTCTTTCATCATCATATACTGGAACCGCCGACTCCCAAAATTCAGGATCTCTATTCTCACCAATATCTTGAATTCTAATCTCTTGCTTTTAGGAAATCCTGAACGAATGTAGAATTGCCCATTCCGATCAATTAGTGTTCTTTCATTTATGCCATTTGTCGACATCATATGCAAGTATAGGCACTTGAAGCTCCCCTTTTTGCATTTCCTCGCAAGCTCATGCTATACAACTTTCCATAGCACTTTTGGTGGTACTCCTTCTGTAGTAGTCCTCCTGTAATGCGTGCAACCCATGAACTATACGAGTAGCTCAGATGCTAAATCTTACTTCAGCTTCCGTGATTGTGTTCCCTTTTTTCAGAGGTTGATGAGAAGGATGTGAACCTGGATGCTGCGTTCAGTGTGCATGCTGGGATTGCCCACACCAGGTGGGCCACGCACGGTGTGCCTGCTCCAAGGAACAGCCACCCCCAATCGTCCGGTGCCGGTGATGAGTTCTTGGTCGTCCACAATGGCATCATCACCAACTATGAGGTCTGCTTACTCTGTCATTGTGATGTAATATAATACAGTTCTTGCGTGTTCTTCGTATCATGGGCTGGGGGCATACTTGTTATTCTGACATTGTTTGATGGAATCCTTGCGGCATTGTATTGTTTGTTTTGTTCTATATAGTCTTTACAGTTGTGTGAAGGGCGGGCCTGGTGCAAGCGGTAGAGTCTTACCGCCTGTGACCGGAAGGTCCCGGGTTCGAGTCGCGGTCTCCTCGCATTGCACAGGCGAGGGTAAGGCTTGCCACTAACACCCTTCCCCAGACCTCGTACAGAGCGGGAGCTCTCTGCACCGGGTACGCCCTTTTTTTTTAGTCTTTACAGTTGTGTGTGCACATGGATCATTGAAATCACATGCCTGTACCAACACTTGCTTTGAGCTCCCGTCACATGGGATGTCTCCTTATCTTCCCTCCAATTTTCTAAGCAGAGAATCTGCTCTTTAGTTTCGAAGATAATATATAATACTTATGATGAATGCCTACCCCAACTTGCTTGGGACTGACAGGCTATGTTGTTGTTGTTGAATGGTTACTGCAGTACATAATTTACTGTGTAACAAATGGAATATCAAGACCTGTCTTTTCAGTTCTGCAGGTTATCCATCGCAATCCTGTATTTCCTTTTCTAGTTATGTAAATGATTTGCAATACTCAATGTTAGATTTCAAAAGTTGATCTTGTGTTTATGGACATTTATGACACTCAAGTCTGAACAATCATAGACTTCAATGTATCTGATCATGTGCATCCTCCTGATTCCGTTGTAAACTAAAATGGCACCATATGATAACTGGTAAATTACAAGTCTAACTTGATTTTTCTCTCATATCTGTTCAGGTCCTGAAAGAGACACTAACTAGGCACGGGTTCACCTTTGAGTCTGATACAGACACAGAAGTCATCCCTAAGCTAGCAAAGTTTGTTTTTGATAAATCTCATGATGAAGAAGGTAGTGTGTTTATATCCTTGAAATTGCAATATTGCTGTTGTAGACAAAAGCTGAAAATATAATACCCTCTGATATTTTATCTGGACCATTTATCTGTAGTTTCATGTAAGTTAGTATATCCTTTGGGCATTGCATGATGGTTAAAGTATTAATGTTGTCTCTTAGGAAGCAGATGAGGCAATAATCGATACACATCTATGCTATTTATGCTAAACGCTTTCTATTAACATATAGGGATGTGCAGACTACTACAAACTTGGAAGAATAGTCATTATTGCATTACAAAAATAATTCATTTTGACTGAACCCATCGTGACTTCTAGTTATGGCAGTTCCTTACATTATTTTTCATTTCCTCAGGTGATGTGACGTTTAGCCAAGTTGTTATGGAAGTCATGAGGCAGCTTGAAGGAGCCTACGCGCTTATCTTTAAAAGTCCACACTATCCCAATGAATTGATTGCATGCAAACGAGGCAGCCAACTGATACTTGGTGTCAATGTGAGTGAAATAACATCCTTATACCCTTTAGGCTTTTGGGCAGATTCCAATACGAGCAAATTAAAATAATCTTTTTTGTGTGTTTGTACTGAGCTACATTTTCTATTACAATGGGACCTAAGTTAATTTTTCCTTGCCGTCATCTAATTCAAAAATATTTGACACGGGGAAACAGCATAGTTGTAACTTGTAAACATAATGCACTAAAGAAGATGTTAGTTCCATTATTTGCATTGAGCCATCGGATAATACCCTATAAGTCTATAACTGCCTTTTGATATCATATGTTTTCTCTCATCAAGGGAAACTCTTAAAAAGATCCACACTCAAGTATTCATATAGTAACAAACTTTTTAATTGCCACATGTTTTGCTCTACACTGTTTGACCATAAGAATCATGGGGTTAGGTAGTTCAAGATTGATATCATTTACGAGCAGCCTTTTTAGTAATATATATTTTATATTACCATACTTCATCCTTTGTTATTGCGCTCTATGAATCTTACTGTCCTCTTTTTTGAATCTGAACCCTTTCCTATAGAATGTAAAAATCATGACCGTTATCTCTTGTGTTTCAGGAATTGAGTGGCCAACAGAATGGGAAATCATTTCATGATGTCAAAACCTTGACAACAAACGGAAAGCCCAAAGAATTATTCTTCTCCAGTGATCTATGTGCTATTGTAGAGCATACGAAGAACTATTTAGCTCTTGAAGATAATGAAATTTGTCATATTAAGGTATTGTTATTTTACATTCATTTGCTGGTTTATGTTACCAGTATATATTTTTTTAAGGTTCATCTATTACAATTTTACAATTTCTAGGCCTTGGTAATCATCGATGTAGTTCTCTCTTCCCTGTCAAAAACTCACCATGATGTTGTGTCCAAGAAATATAATCTCCAACCTTCTATGCCTAATTGGTTTAAGCATTGCAGGATGGTAGTGTCTCGATCCTCAAGTTTGACCCTCACAAAGAGAAGCCAGCATCTGTGCAACGAGCATTGTCTGTTCTTGAGATGGAAGTTGAGCAAATAAAGAAAGGAAGTTATGACCACTTCATGCAAAAAGAAATCCATGAACAGCCACATTCGTTGAAAACTACAATGAGGGGTAGACTGAAGGATGGTGGGGTTCTTCTAGGCGGACTGAAGGAATATCTCAAAACAATTAGGCGCTGTAGAAGGGTGGTTTTTATTGGTTGTGGAACAAGTTACAATGCTGCCTTAGCTGCAAGACCTTTTGTGGAAGAACTGACTGGTAAGCCCAATCAATTACTCCAGCTGTATTGTCTTTACCAAAAAAAGTTTGGAAAGCAATCAGAATTTAGTTAATGATTCTTTAAGTTTTGCCTTTCTCCTTGCTTTATTTGGATGATAGGTATTCCTGTGACTATGGAGGTTGCAAGTGACTTGCTGGACAGACAAGGTCCCATCTACAGAGAAGACACTGCAGTTTTTGTTAGTCAGTCTGGGGAGACAGCAGATACCCTCATGGCTCTTGATTATGCACTAGAAAATGGAGCTCTCTGTGTTGGCATAACAAATACTGTTGGAAGCACACTGTCTAGAAAAACACACTGCGGAGTTCATATCAATGCTGGTTGTGAGATTGGTGTTGCCAGTACAAAGGTTGGTGTATATAAGTTTTCCCTTTGCAACGTGCTCCTCTTTTTAGCTATCCGTTTTCATCATAACTGAAAGAAGGTATTGAATTTTTTTCTGAATTCCTAACAATACATGACAATCTTGCAGGCATATACAAGTCAAATAGTAGCCATGGCGATGATGGCGTTGGCTATTGGATCCGATCAAATATCTACTCAAGCTAGAAGGGACACTATCATCAGTGGACTTAACAACCTTTCAAGTAGGTTGAACTAGATCTTTGCGCTATGCAGTCCAGCAAAAGGTTGTTTTTTACTGACGTCTCCAAATGTGTATATCATATGACGCAGGCAATGTTAGTGAAGTTCTCAAACTTGATGTTGAAATGAAGGAACTCGCCTCGTCACTGATCGATTCAGAGTCGCTCCTCGTGTTTGGAAGAGGCTACAACTATGCCACCGCACTGGAGGGTGCTCTGAAAGTCAAGGAGGTTGCGCTGATGCACAGCGAAGGTATGCTTGCTGGCGAGATGAAGCATGGGCCGCTGGCCCTGGTGGACGAGAACCTTCCCATCATTGTCATTGCGACTCGTGATGCATGCTTCAGGTAATGATGATGACGCAGAGTTTTCGAAAAGAACCAGGCCAGTTTCGGTTATGCTTAATAACAGGAAACCCCTGAGCTGGATGGTTTTCCACCTCTTGCAGCAAGCAGCAGTCAGTGATTCAGCAGCTCCTTTCGCGCAAGGGGCGCCTGATAGTGATGTGCTCGAGGGGAGACGCCTCCGCTGTATGCCCTAGTGGATCCTGCAGAGTCATTGAAGTTCCAGAGGTTGCAGATTGTCTCCAGCCAGTGATTAACATAATTCCATTACAGGTTTGTCTAAACTTGTTTTGTCATCTTTTTTTTTTTCAAAAAAAAGAAGAAAAATCTGTGTGGAGTCCTCAGACCTCCCTTTTCACCTTTCAATTTACTGATAAATACAGTTTTATGTTGACTGAACAAATTTTGTTATTTTCGGTTCAGTTGCTCGCGTACCATCTGACTGTTCTCCGGGGATTCGATGTGGACCAACCAAGGAATCTGGCAAAGAGTGTGACCACACAGTAGGTAGTAGAGATGGATGAGATGTGTGAACGACGACTTGTATCCCTATGTTGTACTGGGCAGGGGTTCTATAGAGAGCATGACGGCTATATATAGCTGTTGGGTTAGCCATTTTTCTTTGTGCATGTAATTATTCTTATTCTTGAGGTGGCTAGTAGTGTTATGGTACGTTAAACAAGGGAGTGGTTATGAAATGCATGATACAAAAGGTATTATTCGAGAAAAAGGAGTGTGTTATTGTTACAATGTCGTGCTTTGCTTTGGAGGAAGTAGGGAGGGGAGGTTGGAGCATGGAGGCGCGCTCGTGAACGTCGGGACGTCGCCGTGTTCTAGAGTTCGTGTGGCAACAGGGAGAACGGGGAACAGGGAAAACGGGAGCGCCAGGCGCCCAAGGGAGACTATAAGTCTCAATCCCAGGCTACCCTTCCATTAACCAAGAGTTGGACTCTTATACAATCGACTCTAACAACTTGAAACTGGAAATAAGGACTCTAGTTGCTAGGAATAAGGACTCTAGTTGCTAACAAACTCAACCCCTCTAAGACTCCTAATAATGCTAACAAACCAAATCTTCATCTGGGACTCCACCTGACCAATTGGCAACGTTGGCTCACCCACGATGGTTGTTCCTCCTCTCATATGTGACCCCGACCATAACATCTCTCCCCTCCTCCGGAAACAGCTCGTCCTCGAGCTGGAACTCAGGATGAGCAGCGCGAAACTCAGTGACCGATTCCCAAGTCGCCTCAGAAGCTGGCAAACCTGCCCACTGAACAAGCACATGCCACTCGCCGCGCCGAAGACTGGAGTGGAGCACACGGTCAGGGCACAGAAGCGGACGATCATGACGAATAGGAGGCAATGCTGGAATTGCTGACGGAGGTGCACCACGGAATGGCTTCAACACACCAACATGAAACATGTCATGAATCCGTGCTCCTGCTGGCAACTGGAGGCGATACGCCACTTCTCCAATACGCTCCACAACCTGATATGGTCCCGCATATTTAGGACCCAGCTTGCCACGACTGCCCGGTTCCAGAGCCTGGGTGGATCGATGAAGGAGGCGCAAGAGCACCCAGTCGCCCACCGCAAACTCCAGAGCACGATGACGAGCATCATAGGAACGCCGTGCATGCTCCTGCGCCTGAAGAAGTCGGGAATGCACTTCTTCCAGAAACTCGTCCCGGTTGGCGAGAAGCTCATCGACCGCCTCAGTCTGGGCACGACCAGGCACATAGGGCAGCAGTTCCGGCGGCGCACGGCCGTAGACCACGGTGAATGGCGAGGTCCAAAGAGCCGAATGGTAAGCGGTGTTGTAACAGAACTCTGCCCACGGAAGCCAATCGAGCCAATCGCGAGGACGATCACCGGTGAGGCAGCGAAGGTACATGGCAATCGTCTTGTTAACAGCCTCAGACTACCCATCGGTTTGAGGATGGAAGGCTGTACTCATCTTCAACCGCACCCCTGCCTGCCGGAAGAGGTCACGCCACACATGGCCGGTAAAAACGGGGTCGCGATCACTGACAATGGAGTCCGGAAAACCATGAAGGCGCATGATGTCGTGGAAGAAGGCACGAGCAACCGACACAGCCGTGTAAGGGTGCCCCAACGGAATGAAGTGGGCGTACTTGGAGAACCTGTCGACGACGGTGAGGATGACACTCTTGCCATGGACCTTAGGAAGGGCCTCGACGAAGTCCATCGCAATGTCCGCCCACACACGAGACGGCACGGGCAACGGCTACAGGAGACCGGCTGGGTGTAGAGTCTCTGTCTTGTTGCGCTGGCATGTGGAGCATGCCCGCACAAAATCACGGACGACGCGGCGATCATGTTCGACGAAGAACTCGATGCGGAGGCGCTGCAATGTCTTCTAGATCCCCTCGTGCGCGCCCGTGTGCGCTAGTTAGAGCACATCGTCAAGCACCGACGAGTAGGCCGGCACGAAGATGCGCCCCTTGTGGAGCACGAGGCCCTCGCGCAGCCACCAGTTGTTGCCGTAGTCACCGGCGGCCACAGCGTCCCGGCGCGTGCGCAGCTCGACGTCGTCCTCAAACTCACGTCGTAGCTCGTCGAACAGCTAGAACGTGGGCACAGAGAGCGTCGCCACGGTCGTCTCCGGACCGCACAGCACCGCCAACAGTGGTTTGTCGCCATCCTGTCGAGACAATGCATCGGCGGCGACGTTGAATCGTCCCGGTCGGTACTCAACCCTGAAATCATAACCGATTAGTTTGCTGATCCAGTGATGCTGTGGGATGGTGGACAAGCGCTGGTCGAGAAGGAATTTCAACGCATAATGATCTGTGCGCACGACAAAGGCCCGCCCCCAAAGGTACGGGCGCCAGTGGCGAACGGCCTGCGCCAGCCCGATCAGCTCCCGTTCATATGCCGCCACCTTCAGGTGCCGCGCCGCAAACGGCCGGCTGAAGAACGCGATGGGGCCTGCCCCTTGATGCAAGACAGCCCCAAACCCGGAGCCCGACGCGTCGCAGTCGACGACAAATTCCCGGTCGAAATCTGGAAGATGCAGAACCGGGGCCGCGGACAGTGCCGACTTCAAGGCCGTGAATGCTGCGTCGGCAGCCTCTGTCCACAGGAACGCGTTCTTCCGCAAGAGGCTTGTCAATGGCGCCGCGAGGGTGCCATAATCCTTGATGAACCGCCTATAATACCCCGCCAAGCTGAGGAATCCGCGGAGACCACGTGCCGATCGCGGCTGCGGCCACGATTGCACCGCTGCGACTTTGGATACGTCCATGGAGACACCTTCATGCGAGATCACATGTCCCAGGTACTGAACTGATGTAGCAGCGAAGGAACACTTGGACTTTTTGAGGTGCAGCTTGTGGGCGCGCAGGACATCCAGGACCGCGCGCAGTCGCAAGAGGTGCTCCGTCCACATGGCGCTGTAGACGAGGATGTCGTCGAAGAACACAAGCACGCAGCGTCGGAGGAACTGCTTCAACACTAGGTTCATGAGCTCCTGGAGCGTGGACGGCGCGTTGGAAAGCCCAAACGGCATGACCAAAAATTCAAAGTGGCCATGGTGAGTGCGGAACGCTATCTTAGCCACATCGTCAGGGTGAACTCGCACTTGATGATATCCCGAATGGAGATTGAGCTTCGTAAAGAACTTGGCACCATGGAGCTCATCGAGTAATTCCTCAACAACTGGTATAGGAAATTTGTCCTTCACGGTGGCTGCATTGAGGGCGCGGTAGTCCACGCAAAATCGCCACGAGCCATCTTGTTTTTTGATGAGCAACACCGGTGCCGAGAACGGAGAAGTGCTATTGCAGATCGTGCCTTGATGCAACATCTCCTCACATTGTCTTTCTAGCTCATCCTTCTGGAGCTGAGGATATCGATAGGGGCGTACTGCCACGGGCTCTATGGACGGCTTGAGGTGGATCCTGTGGTCACACGCACGAGCTGGAGGCAGGCCCGTCGGCGCCATGAAGACATCAGCATATGAGTCTAGTAGGCACTCGAGCAGTGCAGGCTCGGTCCCCTTGGCCGAGAGCCCCCGGGCGGCGAGGAGGCAACCTGTCGGAGGAAGGGACGCAGCCGGCGAGCCGACACCCTGCCACAGCACGCGATGCCCCTGGTATGTGAACACCATGCACAGGTTGTCGAAGTCCCAGAGTATCGGGCCGAGCGTGCGGAGCCATGTGATGCAGAGTACCATGTCGTAGGAATCCAACGGAATGGAGTAGCAGTCAACCTTGAAAGTTTCACTGCCGATCCGGAGGTCGACGTCACGAGCCAAGCCGCGACACATGACGCGGTCACCGTTGGCCACGACGACACGGGCACCTCCGCTGTCGTGGAACTGAAGTTCAGCGCGTCGTGCGGCTGCACCACTGATGAAGTTGTGTGTAGAGGCCGAATCCAGGAGCGCGGTAAGCTCATGTGCGCCCACTCGAACGCGAAGCTGCATGGTGTCCGCCGTCCGGATACTGGTGATAGCCGAGAGAGATATCAGGGGCTTGTCCGGGTCGAACGAGTTGGCAGCCGACGGCGTAGTTGGTGCGTCGTCGGCGTCGTCCGGCTCCTCGACGATGTAATCGGCGGCCTCGAGAAAGAACAGCCGGGCACACTTATGGCCCCGGACGTACGGTTTGTCACAATTATAGCAGAGGCCCTGCTTCCTGTGCTCCGCCATCTCGTCCGGTGAGAGCCGCTTGAATGCCCTCTACGGTGTCGTCGTGGAAGAGGAGGCCGCTGCTGAGGTCACCCCGGACAGAGCAGGTGGAATGGGCGGCGCCCCCATTGGCCGACGCCACTGCTGGGCAGGCAAGGCAAGCAGAGCCGGTGTGTTCCGACGCTCGTATGCGCGCGCCAGATGCATGGCGCGTTGCAGATCCTGCGGGTCATGAAGCTCCACATCGACGCGGATGTGACTCGGCAGCCCACCCGTGAAGAGCTTCGCCTTTTGACCCGGAGAGAGACGCCCGGCGTGCGCCGCTCGGGCCTGGAACGCTTCCATATAGGCATCCACCGTCGAAGTGAAGGGCAAGCGCGCCAGGTCCGACAGATGGTTCGTGCTGAGGGGAGGACCGAAGCGCTGCTGGCACAGCGTGCGGAACTCCTCCCATTGCGGCCGGCCTGTGTCGGCTTCGAGGACCAAGTACCACTGCTGAGCAACTCCGGTGAGGTGGTACGACGTGAGCCAAACTTGGTCAGCATGGCGTGTCTGGTGGCCATTGAAGAATTGTTCGCACTTGTTCAACCAACCGAGGGGATCTACCTTCCCGTCAAACGTCGGAAACACCAACTTGTGATACTTGGGCACCACCTGTCCCTCCAGCTCCGGTGGCACATGCACGCGGGACGTAGGGGATGCCATGGGCGCGGAGGACACCGGCACCGACCCCCGCAAGATGGACTCCAGGGACGGCACGGGGGATGGCGAGTGAGGAAAGCATATCTGGCCGATCGGAACACCGAACGGATGAGTCGCCGTGGCGGGCAGCGTAGTCGACGTAGGCACC